GAGATACAAGGAAAGGTTCTTTAGCTTTTAAGGACCTATGTGACTACATTTGGACCACCCAAATCTATATATAGAGCTATATCTATATAGCTCTAGATAATCTCCTTCTGTAACGTCAAGATCCTTAACTAAATCACATTTGTGAGGTCTCTTTGCCACGTAAGGTAATATATTCATAGGTTCTGGGATTAGAGCATGAACACATTTTTTTGGGGGGGGGGCTTTTCTTGCCTACCACAGTGAACAAGACATAGCAGCAACACTGGTTCTTATTTAGAAAGACACCTCTCTCCCTATAACTACCCAGTCACTTTATTCTTTATACTTGAAAATTCTTTCAATAAAACTATTTCATCCTCAGAGTCATTTTCTAAACTATCATTTACATGATACATGTACAAACACACACAAGATATGAAAGCATACAGAACATGAAGCATACAAAATACCAGTAACTTTTCCCCATAAATAAAACACTTGTTAATAATATTATCTTGGATTGTTACAAATGAACATAAAAGGGCCCTTGATGGTGTCATTTTTCTCAGAGAGAAGCCATTTCGTCTGGTTCCGTAGCCACTGGGTAGGGATGCTCCAGGAGGCACTGGGTAGCCTCTCGAAAGGCAGCTGCTCCCTGAGCTGGCCAGCCCGGGCTTCTCCCTGTGCTTGGGGCCTGCTGCCTGCCAGGCTGGCCTCACTAGTGACGCGGGCTCTGTGTCAAGGTGCTAAGGCCTTGATTGCTTTCCCATGGATGTCTGTCTAGGAAGGCAGGAGGGAAAGAGACCAAGAAAGACAGACTGCCCCACTGAAAATAGCAATGTTTCCTCTGGCCGGTGCCAGGAACGCTTGCTTGAGGGTGCTCTGTCTTCAGCCGCTGGCTTCCCCGGCAGACTGTGCGCTGCTGCTGAGGTTAAAGCGTGGGCTAAATCTCGTGCCTCCCTGCAGGGGAACAGATGGTGACGAGGCACGTGGGAGAAGGGGCCGTGCGTTTAGCTTGAAATCAGTCTAGGAACACTGCACGGGAAGTCAGGACACCTGGCTTCTTTCTAGATGTGGCCCTGACATGACTTTGACTAGCTGCGTGAGCCACTAAGCAGTTTATCTAGCCTCTCAGGACCTCAGTTTTGTAATTCATTCACTTAAAAGTATTGACTGAGCAGCCCCAATATGTAGACACATGGAGAGAGGGGTTCAGAGGGGCACAAAAGGTGACCAAGGTATTTTTCCATATTCATGGACAATCTAGAGAGAGTGGTGTTTTTTGTATAAGTAGGTATAGTAAAAGGCAGAAAGTCAGAAATGCCTTAAGGGAAAGACAAGGAAGTCACTATAAAAGTTCCACTGAGAGAGAGAGAGAGGGACAGAGACAGAGACAGAGACAGAGACAGACACCCCTCTGAGCTGAGGGGTAAGGAGAGCAGCCCCTGAAGGAGGCAGCATTCTGATGGGATTTTGCAAGATGCTGCGACTATCACCTACAGAAACAGAAAAATGGCATGTGGAGATGCGGCGTGTAGTAAAATAGAAAGCAGGGACAGGGCACCCCCTGTCTTTTGAACATTGCAATTTTTTTCCAACTCTTGCTTTCCCATCTTTGCCACTGAGAAGTTTTATTTCAAGCCCTCCTCATTTCTCAGTAAGATTATCACAAGAAGCTCTAGCCCTGGTCTGGTCCATTCGCAGCTCAGTGCCATCGAGGGTCCTTGATAAGTATGCAGAAGAAAGAATGCAGGCATGTTTGCGTTCCAGGTAGGCTGATGTTCAAGGGTGTTTCAGAAGATGATTCTGACAGGTTGGGGGTCAGACCATCGAGGACCTTGAGGGCTGAGCGAGGATGTTTTGATTTTAGTGAACAGACATCTTTAATATGTGGGACTTGGACCGTGAAATTTTCCTCTTCCCTTCAGCCCTGAAGTTCTGTGAATCTATGAATGCAGCTACTGTATTTTTCTTTTCTTTATATTTCAAGTGTTCCTGAAATTAAGGGAAAATGTGCCACTTTTTCTGGCCCACGCCTGCAGGGAAGAAGTGTTTTCCCTCAAAGCATACTTTGGTGGAGTTATGGGCCTTCACTTGCTCAGGAATTTTTATTTTGTTTTTTCTTTTACTTTGCAAAAATCAAAGGAAAGATGTCAGAGAAGTTCGAATAAATCTAACTTCTCACTGTACAGATATTTCCCTAAATGGACCTTCCATTGAGACTGCCTAGCTGTGGCCTGTAGCTACTTAATATCAAGCATGGTGAGTTTGAGTTTGAGGAATTTCAGGCCTGACTTAACACATCCATCCCTTTATACCAAAGGTCCCAACAGCTGGTGCTACCCATTTATCTTATCACTTAGGTTTGCACTGTAATTTCTGTTTCTGAGTTTCTAAGAAGACCATTTAATTAATGATAGCTAGCCATAGAAATGCCAAATAGTGTGTTGGTTCAGAAGTAAAAATACTCAAGATAAAATGACTCAAGTTAAAACCTAATTCTGAATGACTAGAGTTAGGTGGGGGGGAATGTATGGTTGATTTTTAAATTATTATTTCATTAGGAAAAATATGATCTTCACTGGAATAGGAGATATTGGCTGAAATGTTTGTAGGGCATTCTTTTGCAAGGCAGTAGTGGTGTGTACTGGGTCCTGCATGAAGTTAGGAGCCCCCCCTGACTGGGTTCTGGCCCCAGCTTTTCCATTTTGTTATTGTGTGACCTTGGGCAAGTTATTTAACATCTCGATGCATCACTTTCCTTATATGGACAATGGAAATAATATCTCTTAGGGCTGTTACAAAGAATAAATGGGTTTATCTTAGAGGAGTCTTATGAAGATTAAATGAGTTAATTTTATAGGGCTGTTGTGAGGTTTGAGTAAATTAATACATGGAGAACAGTGCTTGGGACGTGGTAAAGCAGCTTAAGTATTTACTAGTATTTACACTTTCTTAATACATTAAAAATTTGGAATATTTACTTATTTTTGTTTCCTGTTTTTGTTTAAGTTTTGCATATAATGCTTGAAAAGCTGGTTCCATTAAAAATTTACTGGTGTGACATAAGTAGTTCTTTTCTCCAGCTAGACCTACCAGGGGACATTACTGCATCTTGAGGGACTTGTTTATTTGTGGAGCCTAATATGGGGGGAGAGGACACTGCTAATACATTTATTTCCCAAAAGAATGGGGAGGTGCCTCGTAAGTCTTAGTTTTGCAAAAAGTTTTAATGATGAAAATTGGGTACTTTTGAATGGAAACAACTCTTTTTCTGACAATCTAGATGCCCAGTGCCTGAGTATGTCTTAAATATTTTTCTCTTTTTTTGATCAAGGCAATTAAAATGAAGTACAGATTGGCTTGTCATCCAGACTTGAAGTGGAATTCAGCCATTGACTCATTCATTCATTCAACACATACTTTTAAACACTTGACATGTCCCAAACATAGTCCTAGGAACTGGGGATGCTGAAGTCCATAAGCTAGATAAACTACCTTATGGAACTTACCTGCTGAGAGAGGTCACAAACTGTAAGGATCTGCTTTCTTTGTAGAGGTTGAGATACTTCCCGCAAGCCCTGTTTGGTATTTTTCATTAATTTCTGTCCCTGGAGTTACCTCATTCCAAGTAATGACTGTGTTATGAGACACTGACATGTTAGCTTTATAAGGGACCCCAGAGACCATTTAATTTTTTTTGAGGAAGGGAGAGGAAGAGAGAGAGAGAAACATCAATGATGAGGGAGTCATTGATCGGCTGCCCCCTGCACGCCCCTACTGGGGATCGAGCCCACAACCCCGGCATGTGCCCTGACCGGGAATCAAACCTCAATCTCCTGGATCCTAGGTCGATTCTCAACCACTGAGCCACACTGGCCGGGTGAGACCATTTAATTTAATGGCCTCATCTTACAAGGAAACTCAGAGAGTTTAAGTGGGTTGCAGATTCCATGTCATATACGTTTCCCCCCCCCAAAGTATTAGTATAAAAATTTTCAAACACACACAAAATTGAAAGTAAGATGTAAGATTTTAATAGGAGGGTAGATGACATGCTTCTCTTCTCTTCTTAACTTCATATTCAGTGACAGCACATTTTCAGCTTGAGATCAGCTGTCGTAAAAGTATTTACACTTCCAGTAGCATCCAGCACTACAAGTCAGGACATTTTATTTTTCTGAGAGTCAGTTTACTTGCACACTATGGGGTGAACCTAGAACTCTGGATTTGTTAACTGAATACTGTTAACTGAATAGAGATTTTAGAGAAGATGCTGAGTTTGGTTTGGGACCTGTTGAGATTGTAGTAACAACTGGGAGCAGTCTGACAACGTGGCAGATTCCATCTATAAATGCCATTCACTATCTTTTGAGTAGAGACTATAAAAATGTTGTCCAATGAATTGCTCTTATTACACTGTCTCAGAATTGAAACAAAAGATGAAATCCTCCTGAAGACACATGTTTTGCATTATAAGTGTAATTTCATTGGAGAAACATAAAAAACCGCCATTGTTTTTCAGTAAAAATTTTTACAGTTATAGTAGTTTCTTATGGGTCAAAGAGTAGCTAAGCCACAAAACAAAATAATAATTCAGCTGAGAATTCATCTTAATAGGCACTCCCATTACCAGGAAGGAAGAATCGTGTGCTGTTACTCTGGACAAAAAGCCAAGTGAGGCTGTGGGATTTCACAGACCTCATCTCTTACTTGAACTCTTAGGATGGAAGATCTTTTCCTTCCTGCCAGAGCGATTCTTTAAAAAATTGAAACAGCTTAGCTCTTCAGCAGAGATTTGTGAAATAAATTCTGAAGCATCAATAGAGTAAAATTCATAGACTGGTGCTTAGTGTGGAAAGATATGAAGGACCTATTCAGTGAAATGATATGTCACAAAGCAGTGTTGCTGCGTGGTCCCAATTTTGTATTAAAACATACTGTTTCGAGGGTATTTTTGCTAAGTGAAATAAGCCAGTCAGGGAAAGACAAATAACACATGATTTCACTTACATGTGGGCTTTAATAAACAAAATAAACAAATAAACAAAATAGAGACAGACTCATAGATACAGGGAACAGACTGACCACTGTCAGAGGGGAGGGGAGGTTGGGGGGCTGGGTGAAAGGTGAAGGGATGAGGCGGTACAGATTGGTGGTGGCAGAGTAGCCACGGAGATGTAGATTACAGCATAGGGAATGTAGTCAGTAAGGTCAAGGTAACTATGTATGGGGCCAGGTGACCACTTGAGGCAGTGGCGGGGGGGGATCCCTCAATAAAGTACATGATTTTCTAACCACTTTGCTGTACATTTGAAACTAATATAGGATAATATTGAATGTAAGCTGTAATTGAAATATATACATATATATGTATATAAAACCGTACCGTGTCTCTGCATTGAAAGCCTGCGGGAGTCCAGTGTTGAAAGAGCTTTTTCTGCTTGGCGGGGTTACAGGTTGCTCTTTGTTTATTCCTGTCGTTGTGTGTCTATTTTTTGCTGCAGAGTTACGGGAGCTAAGAAAACGTCTAAATAAAATAAGAAAAGGTGCACTATCCTTCCGCGTGGCTGAGTGCAGTGTTACAAGTAACTTGACCATTTAAAATTTTACAGGGTGTCCCGGGAGCAAAGGGGGAGCGAGGAGAAAGAGTAAGTATCTCACCTGACTGTTCAGCAGCCCAGCTAAGTGCACAGCTTTCACTGCATTCGCCTAGCAAAGGGTCGCCATTTACTGTCGGGGCCATTCATTGCTCTTACACTGTTTCTTCTCTCCTTTCTTCCTCCTCAGCTCATTTGACCATGAACCCATTTTAAAGTGGAAACACCTTGTGGGCTGGAAGTCAGAAGAGCTGGTTACTAGTTGCAGATTTGCTACCATCCAGCTAGACGACCTTTGGTCCATTTCTTTAAGAAAGAAAATAGAATTAAACTGATCTAACTCAGAAAGTGGGTTTGATAAAGAAATTATGTAATACATGAGAAAACACTTCAGAAAAGTAAAAGCTCTACACAGATGCTAAGCAATGGAATGGTACTCATGTTTTTCCGATATTGGCATCCAGAAAGACAATGGCTGGCATAGAACCAAAGAACACAAATCAGCTTATTTTGGGGGCCTTATCTCTCCTTTGAGAAATTGTACAGCTGATAGTGTAATTGTGCTGATGGCTATAGTAGGAACAGCAGTGACCTTGGGCTCATCCAGTTACATGTGTGAAACCTTGGGCAATGTGTTGAACTGTTTGTCTATAAAATGGGTTTAACACCTTTCCCCTGAGTTGTTATTCTTGTTAAGTAAGCCACTTCTTGAGAAAGTGCTGCATTTTATGAGCTCCAAAGAGCTATAAATGAGGCATTAAATATACATATGGGTTTGCTTCAAAACTGTTAAATTTTTTAGAATCTACGACCAGAAATGCTTACTTGAGCTTTTTAAGTTAATAAAGGCTCCCAGGAACCGGCACCAGGAATGTCAAATGGCTTACACCTTCTCTGTGTGTGCCCTGGTGGTCAGTCCTGCCTGTTGCTTGGAGCCTACGAGCCCGGGTGGGAACAGTGGGTTGAGTCAGATCTCGACCTGGAAGACTTGCCAGGTGGCTGTGATTGTGGCTGAGAGTCAGGGGTCTGCTTCTTTCCCATCCAGGGTGACCTGCAGTCTCAGGCCATGGTGAGGGCGGTGGCACGCCAGGTGTGCGAACAGCTCATCCAGAGTAAGTGCATTATAGTTACAGATGTTTTCTGTTACTCTAGAGGAAAACACCTCTAAAGCTATGTGTTGGTGCAGACACATAAGCTTTGCAGACGGCCATCACCAAGCCGTCTAAGAGCTCATTACAGATTACCCCAGATTTCTGCACTGATGTACAGACGCCAGAGTCCTCTGTCATCTGCCCAAGAGCACCCTTTTTGCCCAGACAGATTGAAGCTGACTGTCAGATCAAATCTTTTCCTCATCTTCATCTCCCCAAATGGATAGATTTTCTTCCAAGTGTTCAGCACATAAAAGCTGCCAGGCTGAGGTGTCAGAAGTTATCTTCAAAAAGTTGATTCATAGTGTTGATTTCTATGAACTCACCAGGTTTAAATCAGTGCCTCCTTCTTACCCATTCCTTTTGCTTAGCCCAGGATCCTCTCCTTTATTCTTTAAGATGTACGCCAACACACACACACACACACACACACACACACACACACGGTCTTCATGAGACATTTGATATGACACTTGTGCTTTATGCCAGAAATTATGCTGGAATACACGTGGTATGACACCTGTCCCATTTTTCCCCTGTAAACCTGAACTTTTCCACAGTCCAGTATTCCAGTTACTGATTCCTGCTCATTCACTTACTAACTCATCCGTTTTGCACATTTCCATCCTGGCCACTGACTGTATTTTGTCTCAATAATCTAACTGGAGGGCCCTTTTCTTTGCCAATAATTTGTTCAGTTCCAGGCAGATCTGAGGCCAAGTAGAGATAAAATATTCCTCTCAAACCCGCCAGCTCTGGCCCTCTGCTGTCAAGCCCCACCCCATAGTGTCCTTTGCCTCCAGGGCTGACATCAGCTATGTGGCTGCCTTAACAGTTTTGTGGTTATATTTAATTTAACCCAGTGAAGTCTGGGAGTCCTGGGAGTGTCCAAGAAGGTCCTAATGGGAGAGTCCCAAATTTCGAATGTAGCAGATAAAACCGACCTCCCCTTGGGAGAGATTTCATTAAGACAAAAATCTCAGGACAAATGAGTACAAAGCTCCCGTCTTCAGGTATGGTAGTAATGCTTCCTACATTTTAACTTTAATTACTTTCATATTATATTGTCCAAACTGAATATGTGTATGAGAGAGAATTTACCAGTTGAAGAAAACTGTTCAAGTTCAGTGCCAAAATAAGATTTTTAAAAACTCTATAAATTATAAAAGGGAAATTGAACAGTGTGAACACGTCCAAAGGTAACCTGTATCTTGGATTATTTTGTAGGTTTCTCATTTCAACTACTCAATGTAAATGAGCAGATAATTATTTTAAGGAAACCTAAGGGTTAAATCCTGCTATGACTCACTGACCAGAGTATGTGGAAGATTTCACAATAGTGTCTGTCTTATTTCGCTGTAGAATAAAAATCTTGTATAAATATATGATTGTTTAAAACATGCACTAAAAAGGAGAGTTTAAAATTGAGTTTTTCCCCCTTGGGAATTCTCAGATTCTTGTGAACAATTTCTAGGAAATGGAAGCCAGCAGGGTTAAACAAGAACACTGAAATAGGTCTGAGAAATAAGGAGGCCCTGCCTGTCAATGCAGTTGTGAGGGAAAGAAATAGAAGAGATTATGTGAGCAAGACCCCACCTGCCCAGAGGCTGTATTTATTTCTGACCCCCTCAGCCATCTTCTCACACGCTGCTTCAGGTTTCTCTGGGCTCCTTATTTCATCCCTCAGAACTTGATTTATCAGTTAGTATATAATTCCCCACATTCTCAGTCATCTATGAGGCTTTTAGTCCAGAGCTGATCAGAACAATTATGCTAGGAAAGGTTGTATGGGAAACTGTGAGGACAATGTGATGACAGCTAGAGAAGTGACAGAGGACATCCGCTTGTCAAAGGAGGAAACTGAAAAAGTAGATGCAGAAATGTCTGACCCCACCCAACATTCTTGAGTGTGCTACCGATGGGCCCGAGACATCAGGAAGCCCATCCTAGTTACAGTCACGGTCCTGTACGTAAGAATGCTTGAATATATTTCAGCAATAATCCTTCTAAAAATGCTTACTATTCTTTACTTAGGTTTGAATGTTTGAGAAGGAATCAGTAACAGTTATCTAGGAAATTCATTTATGTGGGGAAAGCTTGCCTCCTCATACAGGAGGCATTATGGTATCCAGCACTTTATTAATGTATACTTCTAATTATTAAAATATATCCTTCCAGGCATAACTGAGTTAAGTGACTATGGGAAAGAAAGCCAGCTTTAAAAAAATAAAAAATAAAGCTAGTGGGAGTTTCTGCGGCTGGGACCCAAGTAAAGGTTCCTGCAAAAATGCTTGGCAATAAAGAGATGAGTTGAAACAGCACTTGTCTGGGGATTTGTGAGCAGGAGGGTGGAGCAGACTTTGTGGGCTGGAAAAAAGACAACTTGGGGGAAATTGCTGGAGAAAAGGGGCAGCTGGGCGAGGATTTAAGGGGTCAGATACACGCTGGGGGTGAAGGTAAAATATGACTTCTGTTCAAATGATGTTTACTGAGATGCTGACATGAACTGTGGAATTCCAAACATATGACATGCGGCTTGAATACAGTCCAGCTGTTGATATCATACAAAGTAAAATGTAAAACACTTTACATTGGAAATCAACATATTTCAGAGGGGTGTGCTTTTCCCCTTGGTGGGCATCTAAGAGAATTGTTTGGAGCCTTGACAAGTGACACCTCCAGCCCCCTCTTTGTTTGGATGACAGTTGATTGAAAGCTGCCTTTGTCCTTCCTGTCTCAGGTCACATGGCCAGGTACACGGCCATTCTCAACCAGATTCCCAGCCACTCCTCATCAATCCGGACCATCCAAGGGCCTCCTGGAGAGCCTGGGAGACCGGGCTCACCTGGAACCCCTGGTGAACAGGGACCCCCAGGTACCCCAGGCTTCCCAGGAAATGCAGGTGTGCCAGGGACCCCAGGAGAACGAGGTAAGTTGGGTCACTCGCCTTACTGAGCACAATGAAGCGGAGCCTAACAGTGGCGCTTATACAATGATAAAGTCTGAAAGAATGGACCTAAATTAATTTTACCCCATCTATTCTGCAGCTTCTTATTTACCCCCCAGGTTGAGAAAATTGAGTTATCTACAGAGTGTTTATCAAGAGCCATATCTGCTTGTTTGAAAAAGGTTCAGAACCCCCAACTCACCTCTAAGAGGCTTTTGTGCTAATGAAAGAATGATGTCCCCTCTAGGTGGAGGAAATAAGAAAAGATGCCCCTTCCAGGTGGAAGAATCAGAAAATGATGTCCCCTCTGGACATAAGTGGCATCACATAGAAGTCGTGGCAAGCAGGGAGCTCACTGCCTGGGTCTGGTGCGTTTTGTGTGTGGTGCCCATACTGGGCAGCACTCAGTGGCAGCCCTGAAGTGAGTCATGAGTCAAATTGTCATATGTTTCCCATATACCTATGAAGAACATGCCAGCTCTAAACTTCAAATTCAATACTCTTTGTGGCTCATCTTATAATATGAGGCAGCATTTTATTTACTAATTTAATGGGCCAATGTTTTATATTTTCTACTGAAGTTTCTTTAAAATAGAGATCCTCCTTAGCCTTTTCTTCTACCCTTTACAGGTATTAACAGTATTGTATAATAAGATCAAAGAGATGTGGAAATTAGGGCTAGATATTCACTACAAAGAAAGTGATGGGAAAAGAGGCAACTGGTAAAAGTATTTTCCAAGACAATTTATAGAATGTAGACCTGGGCAAAAGCTAATTACCTATCTTCTCTGAGTCATATTGCTTTTGTGAGATGGCTAGGATATTCCTTTTATAAAATCTGGGATGTAAAATGCAGATTACAAAGATACTATTTCACATTCATTCTTGATCCATACCAACAGGCCAAGTGCATTTCTGTGGCTGCACATTTGTGCCCATTGTTCCTCCTTTGCAATTTTTCTCTATTTTCTGTCATCTGTATGTCTTATTCTGAGTTCACGGCTTAGCCTAACCCGTCTCATGTGATGTTGGCTCAATCGCCCCAGATCACAAATATCTCCCTCCCCTGAACCCCAATGCCCTGACCTTCTCTCTCACCCACTTTAGCACCCGTCAGGTACTGGTGAACCGCTAGATTTCTGGGAACAGGAATCAGGTCTGAATTGCTTTGCACATAACAGGTACTCACTAGATAACTGTTGCTTTGACTATGGCCCAATTCTGATTCTCCTTTCTGGAGGTTTTTCCTGTGCAAGGGAACTAAATCAGCAGATATTGAGATGGGCATAAATTCCTCACGGAGCACCAAAGATCTGGCAGCCAGGCGGGTGGCCACTTCTGTCAGCAGGGCCCCATCTAATGGTGTTGGTGATGGACCAGCTGTGACTCAGGGAACACAGAGCCAGTGCCTGAATCACTCTCAGCAAATCACAAGTTGTCTGTGTTCTTTTTGGAAGTCCTCTCCTTGTTCTTGCCAGGCTGTCTTTCTTGTTTTGCAGGAGCACTTGAATGCTTAGCTCAGGGGAAAATCACCCAGGAGTTCTCAGTGACCCAGACAACCCCTGAAATATGAATTTCCATGATGTAATTTTCTTACCCCCATGTAGATATAGAGATTCCTAAAGAATACAATAGACAAGCAAAATCCTAAAAATCACAGATAATGGAGGATGACAGTAAGACAGGAAGTGAGATGCCCTTTGCACATGAGGGAAGGTGATTTTATTTGCTTACCCACTGAGGAGTGTGGTTTTGGGTTTAAGGTTGAGGTTTATAGGCCAACACTCCCCAAAAATATTGGATCATCCATATGAAAGTTTTCATGTTTAAATTGTATATCCATAACAGCTGGTATACATAGCTGGTTTATTTTGTGCAATAAATCAGCAAACATTTATTGAATGCAGCATTTATGCAAGACTTGGCTTGGCAGTGTGTGAGATAATACTATAATCATGGCTTTCACTTTTAGGCACCAGATCTATCTGCCAATATTGTGGTTTGGATAGGGAATATGAAGTGTTGCTGAATGTACACCCTGGGAGATCATTAATGCTAACCGAGTTTAGAGGAATGCATCACGTGACCTTTGATAAGAAAGGGTGCTAGCATTTACCAAGCAACTACTTAATAAACTATCGGTTGCTTAGCACATTATTAATGCTCATAAAAATCTAATAAGATCAGTATTTGCCCATTTTTAGGTGAGGAAACTGAGGCTCCACTGATTGTCCAATTGTCCAGGGTCACTTACCTGAACAATAGAGGACCAGAATATAATTCCAGATCTGTGTGATTCCAGAGTATCTTTGTTTGCCCTTGAATTCATTGCTTATTGGGTGTTTCACAGATGAGAGGCCAGAACTGTGCAGCGTCTGGCGAGCCCTGTTTCATGATGGCTTCTAATAACCACCTTTCAAAACATGTGAACTGCCGAACTGATCGGAATATCGCAGTGGGCTGTGGTTGTGCTGTTTGCAAGCTCCTTGTGCACTGTATTTGGATAGCCTTGGGCATCTGTGACCTGGCAGATGACCTGCTTGGAGGTGAAGCCAGGTGATCTGTTGGATAAATATGAATGTGATCAAAACATTTCCTTTGGTTACACATTTGGGCACTTGACGATTCCTCTAAGGTTGTAGCACATGCTTATTAGGCTATATGAGAGTCCAAGTAGGGGAATTACCTACAGGGAAACTGGTCATGCATGCATCTGGCAATTTCAGGTATACCTACAGAAGTTATACTTCTGTTCTAATATCTCACCCTGGGGGCAAATAGGGGAGAAACCTGGAACAAGGCAATTCAATCTTGTTTTACGTCTGATATCTTAGAAGAGAAACCATTTGTGATACTGGGATTTGGGGCATCAATCATTTATGGGTTAGGATGCAAGCTTTGCCACTTATTAGCTATGTCATTTTGGCTGCTTGATCTTACAACTTAACCTTTCTATATCTTCATTCGTTCATCTAACCAGCACTTACTGAGCATCTACTACATGTCAGGCATGGTGCTAGGTGTTAAGGAAATAATGGTAAACAGGGCATACATTTCCTGCCTTTTGTGTGCCTAGCATAGAGACAGATATTAAACAAAAAAATACATGAATAGTTTAATATCAGTTGTTATAAGTGCTGTGAACAAATGCAGGATGCTGTATGAGCATAGAAAAGGGCACTATGACAGTCTGTTGATGTTTAAGCTGAGATCTGAAAGTTTAAGAGCTTGTATATAAATAACAGAGAGAAAAACATCCTAGGCAGAGACAGCAATAGCATGTGCAAAGGTCCTGAGATGGGAAATGGTTTGAAACCTTTCAAGCCATGGTCCTCAAACCTAGCCAACATATTGTTTCCTTTCTGTAACAAATAACTTGCAACATCTCTTCTACTGTTCTAAAATGAAATTCATAGATAATAAATATAACCTATCTTCACACATAGTTTTAAAAACTGTAATGCCCTCTAGTGTAATATAAAACAGTAAAAGGGAAGCCTAATAATTTATTCCAGTGTGCAAATTCTCAGCATGACTATACTGGAAACATAACGAAGAAGTCATAGTCGGAATGTACTTATTTTTAAGAACTACTGAGAATGCCACAGCTGCAAATTCAGGCTGATGTAACTGAGCTTTATCAACTACTTGGTTTTTCTACATTTGTCTCTATTGTGTTCACAGTGAAAACCTACTAAGATGGCAAAAACATCATTGGTATTATGCAACTAAATGTAAATTACCTTCCCTTACTTTTTCAGGCACATGTTCTGGGGTTAGCAGATCTCTTGGTTTTCCATTATATTTCTTTTTCCTACTAAGGCCTCTCCAGAGAAGCCTTCCAGTACTGACCATCCCCTAAAACCAAGTGATGGTGACAAGGTCTTTCTCCATCCAGTGCCTGGAAAAGCTGAGTAGAAATGACTGGGAAATATCATTCCAAAGACTTTCTCTGTTGGAACTCATTGGTTCCTATAAATGTCATTAGCATGTTATGTTTAATCTGTAGAATCAAATATTTTGGCTGCTTAAGAGAGCTAGTCACTCCATTATTATTATTGAGGATAAAAATAATAATCGACGTGACTCAGAGGTGTTGAGCATTGACCTAGGATCCAAGAGGTCACGGTTTGATTCCGGGTCAGGGCACATGCCCAGGTTTCCACCTCGATCCCCAGTTGGGGGCTTGCAAGAGGCAGCTGATCCATGACTCTCATCATTGATGTTTCTATCTCTCCCTCTCCCTTCCTCTCTCTGAAACCAATAAAATCATAAAAAGAAAAAATAATCATGTTGGAATGCCATCTTTAATCAAGAGAAAATTTCACATTTTGTTTGCTACGCAGATTAATTTTGTTGTTGTTCTTTGAGGTTAAAATCCCTGAAGACTTTTGAAGTTGGGAAATTATTTCCCTCAAGCCTTTTCTGCCACAGATGACCAAATATCTAGTCATCGAGTAAAGAAAGACAAGACTTAAGGATCAATTTTTATCAAGCCTAAGGTTCTGTGGTTAACTTGAAAAAGATAGACTTTGTTTTAGTAAATGAGAAAAAGGGGGTGGGAGAAGGGTGAAAAGATGAGTCACCACTGAACTCCCCCAGGCACCAGCAGGTAGAAAAGGAACGAGCCGTAGGCTGGTCTGGTCGCTGGTTGCCGGTCACCTAAGCCAATGACAGCTCCTTTCAGAGACACAGAAATGGCAGTTGGGGCAGAGAAATGCTGCACGCACACTAAAGCTAAGCCTGCATCCCTCATGCTCACATCGCAGTTTACTGAGTCAACAAGGCTGAGAAGTCTAGAGAGAAGCCTGCGGCCCAGATTCATTCAAAGCTGAGAGAGAGAGAGAGGTTCTTATGCTCAATATTCCTGTGGTTGAAGAGGGCTGTTGGCACTGACGATACATCTGGCAGAGAACCTTGGTCACAAGTTCAGAATTAGAGCATTGCAGTTGTGAGCCAGGAATGCCTCAGTGGCAAGCATC